GACATTCTTCAAGTTTATCGACGAGTTCGAGAAGACGGTGCAGATCGATTCCCAGGACAATGAGGGCAACACACCGTTGCACTTGGCTATTTCGTGCGGAGATGCGAAGATGGTCGAATCGCTGCTGAGACGAGGCGCCAATCCGTGTTTGGCCAATGCGGAAGGACAAACTCCTCTACACGTTATTTGTCAAAGATACGAGAATTGGGACTGGTTTGAGCGATTCTTCAAGTTCATCGACGAGTTCGAGAAGACGGTGCAGATCGATGCCCAGGACAGTGAGGGCAACACACCGTTGCACTTGGCTATTTCGTGCGGAGATACGAAGATGGTCGAAGCGCTGCTGAGACGAGGCGCCAATCCGTGTTTGGCCAATGCGGTAGGGCTGACACCACTGCTGATCAGTGCCAAGAGAGACGCACACAGCTCCACGATGGAGCTATTCTTCGGTATAAACGAAGAAAGACAGTGGACGGTGGGGATCGACGCTCGGGACGCCGAGGGCCGAACAGCGCTGGAATGGGCCGTGGCGCGCTGCTGGCCGCACATAGTCAAGAGTCTTCTGGATCGTGGCGCCAACGTGTCGGGCTTCGTTTTTCCGACCCCGACCGACTCCGATAGGCACTGGGACGACAATCGTCGGGGTAACAATGATCTCGGCAAGGGTTGTCCTGTGTTTAGACTGGCTGCGACGACTGGCGTGCTGGCCGGCGTCGGACTGCTCGAGAGACGCCGGGACGACAATCGTCAGGGTAACAATGATCTCGTCGGGGATTGTACCGCGATTAAACTGGATGCTGCGACTGGCCTGCTGGCCATCGTCGAACTGCTCGAGGCAAGAGGCTACATAATGAACCAAGACGACGCCTCGAAGCTCATGGGATTTTTCGACAAGTACGGATTGTTCGGAAGTACGGATTCTTCAACCACCAAGGATGTCGACGATTTGGTAGATTTAGTATTCGAAGAGATGGCGAAAAAACCTACGTATATGGACATCTACAAGTTCGCAAGCTCGTACAAATTGCCTGAGCTTCCCCAAGAGTCTAGGGAGGCTTGTTCTTCGGGCCTGCGCGAGAAAGTATTGACGAAATTTTGCCGTGACTGGGCCCTGGATCCTTTTATGCAATTGATACATTACCGACTCCCGATAGAGTGCTGTGGAATGATCATGGAGACGCTGAAGAACAAGGATTTGTTTAACATTTGTCTGGCGGCTGCGGGTCGAAGTTCGCGACCATAATCATGTTTGCAATCATTTTTTCTATGTACGATGTTGCTTTATCAAATAAATGAATATATTTAAAAAAAAATGAGGTTCAATTTTTCCATTGATCATAATTTTCTTCTCATCGACTCTTCTATCTAGCTATATCATCTCATCAATGATGAATTTTGAAAAAAAAATTTTAATACTGCGAGCACCGGCAGTATCCTTTAGTCTTGGTTAAACCAAAAACATGAAGTTTCACCCCTCATATCTAACGCGACTCAATAAATTTCACTTCAAGAAAGCTTCGTAACGGATTTAGTTATTGCAATTTTGTTTACGCCCAACAACCGCTAATTCTAGATTTTTCCGTTGGCGATTATATATTCTCCCACGATCGACAAAAAAAAATATACACAAACTCTCTGAAAATAGCTTCAAGTCCGTTTCGCAATACGCCGGTACTTTGACCTGAAAATATACAGTCTCTGACAAAATCCCCCTCCTCGCGTACGTGTAACTATTTGTACGTGTGCAACGCGCATCGAGATCGAGCTAAAGCGACGCTCGCAAAAATTCGAAAGAATCGATCGTGCTACGGTATATATAGGCGCATCAAAAAGTGTGTAAATACCGTTCGGAGCTCTCGTAGAATGCGTATATATACAAACGCACACGCACACACGGATAGACAGTCGGAGAGCGACAAAAAAAAGAGTCGGTAGTAGTAGTAGTTTGTAGGTAAAGCCGCGCGAGCTGTTACATGCAGTGCCGGATTAACCTTCAGGGTGGCCGTAGGCATAATTACTTGGTGGCCTCTTTAAGGGCACGAAATAATTGAGAATTTCAAATGATAATTTTATTTTTTATAAATTTTATTTTATTAACTTAAAGCAGTTTTTGGTACAATCGGCTAGAATCATTTTGTAAACTAATTTAAAATCACAAATAAAAATTATAATAATACTTTTCTTGCCTTTTTCTCAGCAAAATCGTTGATGACGTCATCAAAAGACAATTTTTGTAATAAATCATTTTCCATAGCCAATATAGCCAGACTATTGAGTCGATCTTGATTCGTAGATGATCTTAAGTATGATTTTAACAATTTTAATTTGGAAAATGACCTTTCATCAGTGACATTTGTTGTCATTAGAACAAGATATATTTTTAATATAATATATGTATTGGAAAACATATCTTTCATAGTACTTTATGCAACGGGTACGGATATACTTTTTCAGCGAAACGAGGGGTTGCAGCACGAGCCGAAGGCGAGGGCTGTAACGAGTTTCGTTGGAAAAGCATATCCGTATCAGTTGCATACAATATTTTATGGTACAAAAGCCTAAAAGTAGCGGCGAAGTTGCGATTTTTAGGTTAGCGTGCCATAAAATTTTTTTCTACAATAAGATTGAATAACTTGATTTCAAAGCTAATTTGTTCACCTTCATCGTTTTGATCACTTTTAAAAATAAACTGTTTGGAGAGTTCTCTTAATTGTAACAATTCAGAAAGTAAACTATTATCTATATCATCTTTATAAAAAGTTACTAAGTTTTTTTACGTGAATTTCCAACTCGTGGGAAGGTATCTCGTGCAAATTCCTCAAAAATCCAAAATAACCACTTGCTTCTTCGTAAGCACTGATTCTTTGATCCAAAGACCCGACTAGTTGATCAATTACTGGCAAAAAGTGTTTGACACGAAAATTTTGAGAACCTTCAAGCTCGATATCTTCTGATGTTGCATAGTCAAGTGGATCCAAACGTTTATTTCTTTTGCGAGCTCGCTTATGAACCATGTCGTATTCGTCACTTCCAAGTAAGTCTTTGGCTGTGGTCTCAAAAGTTTTGAAATTATCTCGCAGAGAATGGACATAACTTTTCAATGATTTTAAAAGAGCGATAGATGTGTTCAAATCACTATCTTTTTTTTGCAATTCTAGATTGGTTACATTAATTCTCTGCAATACTTCCTGCCAAAAAACTATATTAATAGTGGTTTCTAATCTCATCATATATTTAAATAAACCATCAGCTTCAACATTAGCTGTCATGATCGTCAAAAAACTTATCGTATTGTACCTTTTAACATAACTGCAAACATTTTGCGTTATTTAGTTTATAACGCATATAATTTATTAGTATATTAAATAGTATATACATTAATTATGTGAAACTTTCGCACTCGTTAAGGGTTTTTCCCCGATCGTAAAAAAAACAAGTTTCGATAAACGTGGACTTCACACATACAAAGTTTAAAGATAAAACCATTTGTAACTTTTTTTTTCATTTATCTTAAAATTTTTTTCCAATCTTGTGGTGGCCTCCATGATGGGGTGGCCCATAGGCCGTGCCTATGAGGCCTATGCTATAATCCGGCACTGGTTACATGTATAATACGTAAGGCAGACGATCGAGCGCAATTGACGACGATGATGCGCGCTGCGGCCGAATGAACTCGGCCTTGGTTCGCCTACTATTTGATCATTCTAAATCGGTGGCAGGCGGGCGGGCGGGCGCGACGTTAAATGCGCGCGCGAGAATCAGTCTGCGACACATTATCTCGTGCTGACGAGACTGCAGCGTCGCGCACATTTTAATGCCTGCGCGCGAGCCTATCCTCTTCCTCTTTTTTTCTCTCTCTCTCTCTCTCTCTTTCTCTACTTTTCAATAATCATCGAGAGAGCTCTTTATCGTGCAGTCGCGCCATTGGTAACCACGGCGGTATATATCGATCAACGCTGCTGTAGCGCGCAAACGTCAAACCGGAGTAATACGGAATTTTGATTGTTGCGCCGCGTCGAGGCGGGCGTCGAGTTTATTATTATTTTTTTTATTTTATTTTTTTTTCTCACGACAGGGAAATAGATATATAGGCTCGCTCGCGCTGACTCGAGAAAAAGTTAATTTTGTCACGCTAATTGTCCCGTTGAGGAATATCGTAAATATTCAAGATCGAGAACGATTTAAAATAAGCTCGTTGGTGCGTCGACTCGAGGACTCGAGCGCATGACGAATTCAACGTCGTGTCGTCTCTGTATATTTGTACTAGCGCGAGCACGAATAAAATAAAAACTCGTTCGCGCGCGTTAGATTTAAAATATTCACGAGAAAAATAAGCGGGCGCGCGCGAGAGAGAGCGAGGATATAGAATTGTAAAAAAAGCTCCACCGGTCTCTCCGATTCAACTTGGATGAAGAGAGAGAGAGAGAGAGTTTTTATTGATTCGGTCATTGTTGCCGCGGAGAGTCATTTTTGATGCAGCCGTTTTTTCATATACAATTGATTCATTAAACTAATTACGTCGATGGACTGATAAATACGACGTTTACTTTAAGATCTCTCATCGTTCCACGAATCAGAAGCCGACGATGCGTAAATGAAATTTCTTCAAAAAAATAACTGTATCTAACTCGAGGCTCTCCTGAGTGCTGCTGCGCTTAGCGCTTTGACGATGATCCCCGTGAATCTGCGCATATATATGTACGACGGATGGTCGGAAGTGCACAGAGTGCCTAGCCCGAGGCGCGCTCATAAGACTTTGCGGAACGTCAGCAGCAGCAGTAACGAAACTAACTGCTCTCTCGCTCGCTGCACTGACTCGACAAGGCACGAAAGGAAAAACAAAAGCAAACGACGACGACGACGAAGAAGAAGAATAAGAAAAGTAGCCTATATAATATAACGACTGTATACCGCGCGTCTTTGATGACGTTTATAACTATATAAGAGAGACAGAGAGTGCAGTTATTAACTCTCTCTCGTCATGCTATATGACTACTTACCTCGTTGAGGTCCAAGTGCTCCTGAGCTTTGAGCTCGCTGCACTGATTGACGTAGGCGTCCTCGGCGATGGCGCTGGCCAGGCCGACCAGGCACAATAGTCGAATCGTCGATTTCCAATACATGATCTGATTCGATTGATAAAAAAAAAGCACCGATATACCAGTTGCTGCTGGGGCTTTTCTCTGTATACTATGCAGTGCAGCACACTACTATCTCAATGTATCCTATCTCCTATATAATAAGCACCACCTGCTGCTGCACGTCACACTATATGCACGCGATCGCGCACTGAACAACTAACAACAAAAACAACGACGTTGCACTCGTGCGTACACGCAGTCCAGCTGCATGTACACTTTTTATAACAAATATTTAATTGATATCGATGGATTAGTAAAACACTACGCGAAAAAAGCACACTTGTATACACATACACTCACACGGATGGCGAGAGAGGAAAAAAGCGCGAGAGACACGTGTTTCGTCGTCGTGCGCACTATAGGACTTTCCAACGCTCTACATATATATTATTATATTATACAGCTCTCGCTTACAGCAGCAGCATCAGTAGAAGCGCGCGCGGGAATCGAGGACAAAAAGCTCCAGTAGAGAGAGAGAGAGCAGAGATGCAGCACAGCACAGCCACAACACCACCAGATGCTGCTCGCTTGCGCGGCCGAGTCGGACTCTCGCTTCGCACGCGCGGCGCGGGTTTAACTTCAAAGCTCCGAGTCGAGCAGCAGTATAGCAGCAGTGACGACGACGGGCTTTTGCGGGGATCCACGCGGTGCGACTGCGCCGTAAGGCAGAGTAGCAGCAGCTACCACCAGTCCAGCAGCACAGTAAGCAGCAGCAGTTCATATTATGATTGCGAGTCGAGCGCGCGCTACTACACACATTCTTTCGCTCGTATACATACATCGGAGCTTGTTTCTACTCTCGCGTTTGTATATGTATATGCACGAACTCTATATTGCAGCTATGCGAACGACACGATGCGACAATTCGTATATTATGCTCTCGTTGATGATCCATGGAAGTGATTCTCTCTCTCGTTCGCTCGGGGCTTTTTCCCAGCGTCAGCAGTAGCGCGATATATATAAATATATTCCTTGCCTCGGTTTTCCGTCCCCCAAAGAAAAGCTCTTCTTCGAGAGTACTCGAGACAGCTCACGTATACACGTAGTCGCATGAAATTTTCATGCGCGTGCATATTATATACACTTTTTATTTTAACGACATAGCGTCCGAAACTGCGTTAAAAATTCCTTCACCCGCTCGCGCGTGTGTGTGTGCGTTACAAGTCCGAAGAAGAAACTCGTGCGTGGCCACGCGCGCGCACATAATCAAGTATAACGTATACGTACAGCGTAACGTAACTTTTTCCATCAGGCATTAATAAACTTTAACGATAAAGCGTTCAAGAGATCTGCATAATAATAAACATGGTATATACGCGAGGCGCGCGCGAGAAAACTTCGATGCATAAATCTGAATTTGCGACGATGTAAAATTGTCCATTGCATAATTTTTGCCGCTGCGCTACTGCTATACTGCTTCGTATATAAAAGCCTACTCCGTGTGTGCATGCAGCATCAATTTTCAATGGTGAGAACGCGAAATTCATTCATTCGACACTCTCTGCGCGTAGTACACGGTATATAGCATAGAGCTGTTTAAATAATTACAAATGTCACGTGAGACCAAAAGAGAGAGAGAGAGAAAAGAGAAGTTGTGCAACAATTGGAAATGGACTAGGGCAATATAAAGACGTTATATTATACTACACGCGGTCACGCTTCTACGCGCGCGCACAATTCCGTGATACTGCAAACAACGATACGAAGGAGCAGTATGTATAGTGTATCGAGACGATGGACTCGGTGTGTATGTATATACTGCAATGCTGCACTTAATTTAAGAGCAGTTCAACCGAATTACGCGTCGCGGCGGCATCCAGAGTCGAGTGCTAAGTGCGTGCGCGTGTATACGGGACACCGAAGTTGTATACACGCACCGCGCGAGAGGCGAGTGCGACAGAATTTTCGGGGACGATGCTTGAAAACTTTTTTATTTTACGTGACTTTTGACTTAATATTTCGGTAGAGTTTAGTCTTCGTTATAAATTGATAAAAGAAAACAAGATCAAAGTACCATGGATTTATACATGCATCGAGTTACACACACTCACACACGAATCGAAGTATTATAACATTTGACAGCAAAACAAAAGAGACTCTCTCAAGAGAGAGAGAGACGCGAAATTTTGTTTCCCCCTTTAAAATACATGATTCCATACATATATAAGATACGCATCAAAGCCAGATGAATCGATACACATACTCGCGTACACTACGTATCAGAAACTCGGCAAGAAGAAGAAGAAAAGGAGGAGACACTTGTCTACTTGCCACGGGCAAGTATAATACTATATAAAGCGACTGCAGCAGCAGCAGCTTCGATCTTCTTTTACAATAAAGTAGACGAAGTTCGAGTTGGAAACGCGGGCGAAACTCCTCCAAGCTGTATGGATATATATACGGCAAAAGACATAGCGAGATAAGCGCGAGACATTGTCTGCAGGAAGAAGAAGAAGAACTACATACTATAGAGAGAGAGAGAGACGTACATTATGTAGACGTACATGTGCAGTAAGTATGATTTTTTCCGCAAGCCACACACACAGTTATACAGAGCTCGAAACTTTTCAGAAAAGTCCTCGACCGCGCGCGGCACACCGTTTAATTGCAAATATAATATCTATAATACGATACGATGTATAAAATTTTGCCAAGCCTCCGTCCCCGCGCGACTTGATGTATGGGGCTCAACTTGCCATTGTTATCCGGGCTTTCCTTCTCTCTCTCTGTAAAGCTTTTCTTCGTATTATATACAAGATGTATCGAAGAAACGTTTCATTATGCTCGAAAGCGCCCAATATCTCTTCTCTCTCGTTCCCTCTGACAATGCAACCCTCGTGCGGCTCCTTTCTCTCTCTCTTACTCTATGCAGTTCACGCGATGGGCTATCAATCGTCGTCGCGCACACAGCGACTGTGTATATATAACACGGTACCCAAGCTCACTGCTGCTACACACCGTAGAACCGAAAATTCTTTTCTTCTCTCTCCGACGAATCTCATGTATATATAGGTGTGCGCGCACGCGATATATATCTATGTAGGCATTGGATACAAATCCTTTGTGGGAACCAAGTTGTACTACTACCATGGCAAGACTCTAGACGTGCAGTAGGCAAAGCAAACGATCCTATACCTCGAGAAGCTCGAACGTCTTATCGCTCGTCCAGGCCCTTCGGCTTATAAAGTGCACCGCACTGTGTGTGTGCTGCGCTTTGAGACGCGGGCCGGCCGCCGCCGCACAAAACGAAAATTCGGCTATGGTTATACGATATAATGTTCTATGTGTGCATGCTCCGTTGCTTCCCGCAAGAGAGAGAGAGAGAGACTCGAGATGAGAATAGAATTTTGATCTTGGCCATCGCTCGCTCGCTCGGAAATGTAATTTCGCTGCTGCTGCTGCCGCTATAGTTAATTTTAATACACTTATCGGCGTTTGAACTATATATGTAGGTATAATATTCGCAAAAGCGCCTTGGCATGTAATTACCTTGTGTCGGATATCTACGTATAGAACTCGAGCCACGAGAGAACAAGTCGTCAGTTGTTTAGAGAATAAAAAATTACGCTTTCTTTCACGTCAAAGGCTCGTTTTCGACCTGATTAAACAAACTTAATTCCTCGAAAAATTCAACGAGTAATTGCGATCCCGCACACAGTGCGCATTTACGCAAAAAAAAAAAAAAAATAGGAAAATAAAGAAGCCGTTGATGAAACGCGTGTTTCTAATATTCGCGGGAAAAACGCGCGCCGGAAAAATCCAATATATAACGCGAGCTTGCAGCTGCAGCCTACAGAATTTATTCGAGCGTGTGCGTACCGCGCCGAGGTATGTTTTGCATTACGTACGATGTACCTCCCTCGCGTCATAAAACACATGCTGAATCCATCTATATATGTATGCGGGTGAGATCATCGTGCATAGTGTATAATATTTGGTTTTCGGGGAAAATTATTCGCGCGTACCACCGAATAGAGAGCTGGTACTTCTATGAAGGATTATTACAAATCGTCCGCGTGAAACGATATCGATGTCGCTTTTATGGATTTGATTTCGCGAACGACGCGAAAAGCTTGACCTAGCTTCGCGCTCTATGTAGGTGTGCGCGTGTCGTATGCGCGAGTTGAAAGGAAAACTACGCGTTGATTAAAAATTTAATTTTTTTTTCCCCCTCACGCTCCCGTATACGTACAGCGTATAAAGCTCGTCATCTCGCCAACTCTAGAAGGGCTGCTGCTGCTGCGCGTGCGAGGTGGCAAAAAATCCCCTCCTCCCCCCGACACACACAACCTTATAACGCACTATAAAGTCGGTGTATAAAATTACCTTAGCCGCGAGCGTGTCTCTCTCTCTCTCTCTGACAGACAAATTTTTCCTTTTCACTGCTCTTTCTCTATTTCTTTATGCGTATAATGTATACGCGCCCCGTGCGCGCGACCTGAAAGTTACATTTTTTACATTTCTTTTTTTACGTGTGCTGCACACACTCACACGCACACACCGAGCCGCGTGTGTACACGACGCGCGCGCGCGTTATTTGATGAGAAAAATTTTTTCCCGCGTCTTCTTTTCTTCATTAACATGAGTTTTCTTGCGCGTCGAGCCCGCAGAGATCTTCTCTCCCTCTGGCTTCCTACCGTATTTATAATAAAATCTCTTTTGTAAAATGAGATTGCAATGCCCACTGGCTCGAATTAAAATCTTCGCTTTAACAAAAAAAAGTTACTCAAAGTTAACATTTATTGATAAATTACTCGGTTATTCAATGTGTGCGAAAGAAAATTACGACCTTGGAGTCGGTAAAACAGACGTTTCCGATTACGGTATAACATTTTATTGGCTGCACTTCGGTAATAAATTCGTCCCAACGGAACCTGATTGATTGTGCAACGACGTACTATTCTTTTTATTTCTGGGGGTTTCAATGTCAACCGATATAAACGCGGACATCGTGTTTTTAATAGAAAAAATCAATAAGCGTAAGAACGAACGCAAGATGTGAAACTTCTTTACGATTTTTTTTGTACGTAAAACAGAAATAAACTTTTAACGCACAAAATTTTAAAATACAAGCAAATCAATGAACATTTTATTCATTTGAATGACATAAAGAAACAAAAAAATTCAACATGAAATCAAACATAAAAGAAAAACTGTACATCACCGTAACGAACATTGGTCTATAGTTGATAAAACAAATATATCTTCACAAATCATTTCTTTACTCCTTTTATGAATTTTATAGTAAGAATAATAAAGAACCTTTAAAATCTTTTCATTTGATACTGTAGCCTTTTTGGAGCTTTCCTAACTCTCAATGGTCTTGGATTATGACGTATTACTATTTTACTATCCTCGTTGATTTGGTCCATGGCCGCCACGCAGATGTGATACAAGTCTTTGTTCACTAATTTTCCGATGATAATTTCACAGCAGAGAATCGGCAGTCGGTAGCGCGTCAGCGACATGAAAAATTCCACTGTCCAACGACGAAAAAATCTTCTCGATATTTTCTCGCACAGGTGCAAAACGCAAGTCTTTGTATGTTCATAGGGAAGTTTGCCCAATTCATCCGTACGCGCAAACTTGAAGTAATCCAGATATGTGAGTTGTTCTTCGATTCGTGGCTGGAGCACTTGGTACAGAGACACATCCGAACGTACTTTTATCCGTAACGCTGTGATCGCGAAATTCACGTCATTCAAACATATTCCAAAATCTGTCGATTCCTCGAACATTTCATATTTAGCGAATACTTTCATGATCGAAAATGCGTCGCTTTGCTTCAATACGTATCCTCTTTTTTCAAGACTGTCGACGACGGCCAGTAGGGCAGGAGTTATTATCGATTTAAAATTATTTTCCCAATTCCATATTCTATATTTAGCAAAATCACTCTCAGTTGGAAAAACGAATTTGGACAGATCCACGCCATGATTCAAGAGTGTATCGACGGTCTCTGGCAAAGGAGTCGCCACGGCCAATTGCAGCGGTGTCCGGCCCAAATAGTCCCGTGCGTCGACCTGCACCTGCAGATTTAACTCGTCGGTGACCTCGAAAAATACCTTGGTCAGGCTATGATCGAAGTCTCTCCCGCAGATGATGTGCAGAGGTGACGATCCATCGTCCCAGCAAGCCAAATTAGGATCGGCCCCGCGTCTCAGCAGCAATCCGGCCGTTTCGCTGCAGTTGCTGATCAGAGCCGTATGTAGTGCTCTGCTGCCTGAATCGCTCCGAGCGTCGATATTTACCGTCTGATTCAAGTCGTCGTTGATTTTTAGGAATAGTTTAGCGAAATCATAAACGTCGTAATCTCGCTGGCAAATTGTCTGCAAAGGAGCCCATCCTTCCTTGTCGGCCAAATTGGGATCAGCGCCGTTTCTCAGTAGCAATTTGACTATGCGTTTGTTATTTCTATTACCTTCCACAGCCATTTGCAACGGTGTCTGTCCGTAATTGTCCACCGCGTTGACTTTTACTCTCTGCTGCAAGTCGCGGATGCTTCGGCGGGTGACGCGCCGAGGAGTAAATTTTGGACTGTCGCTGCGTTTCAGCAGCGATTCGACGATGTTTTCGTGGCCGCGAAACACAGCCAAGTGTAATGCCGTCTTGCCGCTGTCGTCTCGAGCGTCGACCTGCACTATCTGCTGGATATTGCCGCAGATCTCGAAAAACGTCTCCAAGACTTCACGGTCATCGTAAGCAAGTTTACAAATGTAGAGCAGAGGCGTCAATCCGTCTTTGTTGGTTATGTTTGGATCTGCGCCTCGTTTCAGCAGCAATTCGAGGACCTCCTTTCGGCGGTACTTCAGGGCCAAGTGTACAGGCGGCTCGGCATATTCGGCGACTTCTCGAGGAACGAAATTGGGATCCTGGCCGTGTGCGAGAAATTTCTCCACGGCGTCTACGCAGCCAGATATGCAGGCGGCTTGAAAATGCGTCACGTCGTTTTCATCGACGTAGTCCAAGTCGAATCTGTCGTAGATTTTAAAAAGGTCAGAGATGCAGTCGAATTCGATTCTTTCCAAAGCCATGTCGTGTATCGCCGTGTTGCGACGCAGTATTGGCTTGCCGTCTTCGTCGAGGTCGGGCTCGTCCCGGTAGCCGGCGTCGATCACGTACTTGATGAATAACCGACCTATTCTGTTCCAGTCCTCCGTGAGAAGACGATCAATTTGTCTCTTTTGAAAAACGCTTAGAAGATTTGGAACTGGGCCAGCTTCATTTTCGAGCAAAGGATAGAGATGATGGTTCAGAAATTTTCCGATCTCATCTGTATAACCGACCCAATTCACTTCTTGAGCCGCGCTCTTCAATCGTTGCAATGTTTTTTCGTAATTAGGAAACATTCCTTCGGAATGGCAATCGTCGTTTTTGTCGTCGTTGGACGAAGACATCTTTTCGCAAACTTACACACGATACAAGAACTTGACACAAAACACACAAACGCACAAACACACAATCGCGTAGTCGATGCGATCTTTCTTTGTTTACGCTGCAGCGGGGTCGTAACGTGTACTGATCCGTCCGTCGTTCGACACGAGCCGAAGCCTTCGATTCGATACTCTGATAAACAGCGCCGCGGTGACTTTTAGAACCTCGCGCCCACCTCAAAATTCAAATAGACCAGAAACTGCCACTTGAGCGCTGTGCATCAATATGCTCAAAGCGAGATACTTATCTTCCCGAGATATGCATACGCATAGCACGATCGAATATTGAATTTGTGAAAATAACCTTTTTTAAGGTTGTGTGTAGAAATTACATATGGAATGACATGTTATTAAAAAATGTGGAATAAAATTAAAACATAATAATTAATTAAATTTTTCAAATACACTTTTATTAAACCACTTCTTATGAAAATATAAAAAAGTTATTTATTTCTATATTAACACATGTAACAAAGCTTAATGTTTACATTCATGATTTTTTATCGAGCCGCAGCTATTTCGTGCCGTCGCACAACACTTCGTCGTTATTATTTCACACACGAGTGCGGAGTTTCGAAGAATCACGAGTTCCCCCCCGCGGCCGCCAAACAAATCTTGTACAGATCCACGTTCTTGAACGAGGGCTCGCCGACTATCGCGTCGCAGCACTCGACCGGCACGCGGTATCGCGTCAGCTCCAGGAACGCCTCGTAGGCCCAGCGCCGGCAGAAGCCGCGCGCAATGATCTCGTTGAGCTGGGCGATGCAGGCCCGCCGCGGCGCCTCGGGCAGCTTCTTCCACAGCTCGCCCGAGCGCCACAGCGCGAAGCAGTCGAGACACCGGAATTGCTTGGCCGCGTCACGGGGCCGCAGCAGGCTGATTCGGTCGAGCGACACCCGCGGATTGATCATTATCTGGCTGGCCTCGGTCGTCAGCTCCTCGTACTCGTACCAGTACTTTTCCAGCGAGGCGAACTCCTCGAAGATACCCTGCTGGGCGAACGCGTGCATGATCGTCAGGGCGTCGGCGCGCGCCAGCTGGTAGCCCCTCTTCTCGAGGCACTCGGTCACGGCCAGAACGCCGCACGCGAATTCCAGCTGCAATTCGCTTCTCATGCAGTCGTAATACTCCAAGTCCTTGTTCAAGATGTGACTCTTGATGGAGAAGACGAAATTCGTCAAGTCGGCGCCACGATCCAGCAGCACGTCGACCACGTCCGCCCACAAATTCTCCACGGCCAATCGCAACGCTGACCGGCCCTCGGCGTCTCGAGCGTCGATGTCCACCTGCTGACCCGTCTCGTCGACGATCCGTAAGAACAGCCGCAACAGTTCCACCCTTCCTCCCTCGCAGATGATCTGCAGAGGGGTCGATCCGCGCGCGTCCACCAGATTCGGATTGGCGCCGCGCCTCAGCATCGTCTCGGCGGTCCTCGCGTTGCCGTAGCGCAGCGCGTAGTGCAGCGGCGTGTCGCCGAGCTTGTCGCGCACGTCCAGCTGCACCTTCTGCAGTATCGCGTCGTTGATCCTGAAGAACACCTCCATGAGGTCGTCGTCGCTCGGCCTCTGGCTGATGACGTGCAGCGGCGTCGAGCCGTCCTCGTTGGCCAGATTCGGGAAGGCGCCGCTCTCCATCAGCAGCTCCACCACCTTGACGCGATCGTGACGCAGCGCGAGATGGAGCGGCGCGTCGACCGACTTGCTCGACGGACAATTGGGATTCTGGCCGAGCTCGAGGAACTTCTCGACCAGGTCGTCGAGGCCGGCTACGCAGGCCGCGTGAAAATGCGTCAGGCCGGACTCCTCGTCGACGTAGTTCACGTCGAATCTCCTGTAGATCTTGAACAGATCGCGAATGCGGTCGAATTTCTGGTGCTGCGCGGCGCGATGGATGGCCGTGGTGCGACGCGACCACGGCCTGCCGTCCTTGTCGACGACCTCGGACTCGTCCACGTAGTTGGAGCGTATGACGAAGTCGACGAACGAGTGGCCCGCCGCCGCGGACTGCTGCTGCCAGCTGTTGTTCGTCACGGACTCGGCGAGCAGCCAGTCGAGCTCGCGCGGCCGAAAGATGTTGCCGAGGTTAGGTAGATCGCCCTTCCAGCGGCCGATCAGATCGTAGAGCTGGCGGAGGAATTCGCGTCGGTCGCTGACGCCGCCCGAGTAGCTGACGTTCTCGCACATGCTCTTCAGCTCCACGCAGCTCTCGCCGCACTCGTCGTCGGACGACGAAGACATTTTTTCACGAGCACACACGCGCACGGTAGTTTTAAAGAATATATAGAACGTATCTTTTTTTGTCACGATGATCACTTGCAGTGCGCGGTCGAGGCGATCTTTCTCGTTATTGTTGGTGACGCTGCTGCCTCACACACTGATCTGCGTGAATTATGTAAACATACGCGCGTGTTACGTGCGTGCGTCTAAGCAGACTGCACGAACACGCATAGCTCGACGTTCGAGCGAGACATGTATGAGCGAGTGCGAGAGAGAGAGAGACAGAGACAGAGATACATGTCGCTATCATAGTCGACTGACTCGAGTAAACCGAAATCAAAAACTTTGACTCTGTACTTATCCTTCGATTATCGTATATAACTTGCTCAATCTTAATTTATGGGTTAACTCATACTTAACACGTGCAAAGGAGTTTCCATTCATAAACACAGACGATCATATTCCCAATGGCAGATTGTGGAGTATGTCACCACGACATGTCATGCGGGTGGAATTTTTTTGATTTTTTATAATATATTTAAACTAGTTTAAATATTGTAAGGGCAATGTATACCGATAAATCGGTAACATAATTGTAAACAATACAACGATTTTCACATCGTTACTCAAACACTGAACATGTTTATAGTAAAAATAAATTAGTTTCAATGTTGTCTTTCTCAATGAAACAAGTCATAAAACCAAGAGATATACATTTCACTCGTTAAATTTCTGTGACACTAAATAGAAAAATCCATCATTAAATTTAAGCATCAAAATGGATAAAAGTGAGGAGAAACCCAAGGAAGTTATCTTAAAAAATAATTCAATTGGATTTGACGTTGTTGCTTCAGACGACAAACAATGCGTTTGTGATATTTGTCAGGAGAATTTTACACTAGAATCAAGTATGATAACACATCGAGAAACAATTCACAATAATCATAAAAATTACTCATGCGACAAGTGCGAAAAGAAATTTGAGTTCCGAAGTCATTTGAGTAGACACCAAATATCCGGACACAAAGGTCGCAAAGATTTTCCATGTGACCAGTGCGAGAAGAAATTTGTTAAAAAATCAAGTTTGATTACGCACAAAAAATTAGTACACAAAAATCGTGAAGATCTCACATGTAACAAGTGTGAGAGGAAATTTGAAAATAAGTCAACTTTACTTAAACACAACAGAATATTCCACGAAGTTTTCAAAGATTACTTATGCGAAAAATGCGCGAAGAGATTCGCAAATAAGCATAGTTTGCTCTTGCACATAAAGACAGTACACGAAAGTCACAAAAATCACGTAGGCGACAAGTCCGAAAAGAAATTTGGAAGAAAATCGCACTCACTTTTACAGCTAAAGACAATCCACGAAGGTCAGAAAGATTTCTCATTTAAAGTCTTTAAAGATATCTTATATGACAAGTGCGACAAGAAATTCAGACAAAAAATGCATTTGATCAGACATAAGAAAACAGTCCATGAAGGTCGCAAAGATTACGCTTGCGACGAGTGTGCGAAGAAATTTACACGAAAAACATATCTGCTCATTCATCAAAGGACAGTACACGAAGGTCGGAGAGACTACGCATGTGACAAATGCGAGAAGACATTCAAACAAAAACCGTATTTGCACATCCACCTAAAGACGGTCCACGAGGGTCAGAAAAATTTCGTATGCGACAAGTGCGAAAAGAAATTTACACAAAAATTTAATTTGCTCTTGCACCAAAGGTCAGTACATGAAGGTCGCAAAGATCACACATGCGATATGTGTGAGAAGAAATTCGGACAAAAATCTAATTTGCTCACCCACCTAAAGAGAGTACACAAAGATAGCAGGGATTTCGCATGCGACAAGTGCCAAAAAAAATTCGGACATAAATATAATTTGCTTGTCCACCAAAATGTAATACATGAAGGTCGAAAAGATTATGCGTGCGATAAGTGTGAGAAAAAATTTGGATATAAACATAGTTTGCTTATACATCAAAAGGCAGCCCATGTAGGTTGCAAAGATAACGCATGAAGCATGTTTGAGAAGAAATTTGGGGATCAAAGTAATCGCATCAAACACCAAAAAGCAGTCGATAACATTGAGTCTGAAACTTATCGAAAAATGTTACCTTTTTTTAAATGGCAAATACTAGAAGTATATATTCTAGAATATATTGACTCTGAAAATATTTTGGATCAAGTTCAGAAAAATTTGATTGAAATTAATTTATATTTTAGATAGTTGAATAACCTCATTTTTACTATGATAAAATTATTTGCCTGTCTATTAACTCTTTATAGATCCTTTTTCTCCTATTCGAAAATATGCGCAATTGCATAAAATTTCGCGTAAAATTATTTTATGAATAATTGATTTTTTTTCGAATTACTCGAACTCGCTGCAGTCATATGCTGTGAATACTTCTTAAGTGGAAGTACGCACTTCAGTTCCACGAAAAGTGCTGATTTTTTTCTTAAAAATTGTAAATATTTATAAATACTTTTATAGATTTTTATCTAAAATTTTAATAAAAATTGTGCCAGTATGATTGTATCTTACCTGAATCTCGTGCTGTCGACTTTACATCTTTATTCGCTGTCGTGGTGGTATTTTATTTTATATCCAGGCTTCACATGCTAATTATTTACTATATCTACTCTTCACATATTTTGGCTACTTGGTTCCTGCAGCTCTTTGTGTTATTGAAAAATTTTGATAAATATGCGGACGGATACTAATTATTTTTTCCAAGAAAGACGTGATCGATCGTAACAATAATTTTTCATGAAATAATCCAAGTTGAAACGATTTAACAATTTTATTCAAACTAATAAATATTTTTTACATTATTTAAAATTATTAGAATCTTTCCTAATTTATACATCTTTTTCCTCCGTACTTTCATCAATCCACAATCGTATTTAAAAGTTTCGATTTTCATTTTCCGAGTTTTCAAATATTAACTGCCTTAACTTAGCGGCATGCGATAGCTTGTTTGGGGTATAAGGAAAATTTTCTGATGTTCCATAAAATTTCTAACCTTTAAATTATTTCAATACTTCTATTCTGTTACGAAAAAATTTTTTTTCATTGCAAAATCACGATACATTTATTTTACTTTCAAATTATTCCAAGAAAAGCTATATGAACCGCTCTTAAAATGTAAAATTTTTGCAGCTGCAAAGCAAAATCTTTGTAAATCCTGAGAAGCGGCCGTTTACCCTGTGCATTCGAGTATGCAAGCGCGACTCAATGGAGTAAATGGCAATGTGCAGCCTATCAGTTCTCATAGAGAAAGAAATAAAAGCAGCAGAAAAACATTTCCGATAGCCCAAAGCCCATAGATTCGGAAGGGACAAAATTAACACTCTCGCGCGTAATTTCTTTTACAGTTATGTACCGCTATGTAGCTGTTTTCCATTTTACCTAGAGTAGAACGAGAGAGAGAGAGAGAGAGAGAGAGAGAGAGAGAGAGATGGTCTAGAAAAAGTAGTTTAGCGCATATACGTGTGCGTGAATAGCCTTAAAAATGGTCAGATACCGAAGAAAAAGGGTGAGTGCGTGCAGAGGGGATATAGACAAATTTTTATTACCGTTTCCCTATGTGAGCAGTTCCATGAAAAATCCTTGCGGTTCGAGATTCAAATCGCGATTGAAATTTTTGTCGTTTCACTCGTTCAATGAATTCTAATAATTATTCATTGAGATTCGAGAAATACGAAGGATTGCGTGAAGAACAAAAATATTAACAAATATTTCATTAATAGGTACTTTTGAGTTCTACAGGGAGAAAAATTGCTATTTGTCCGTTTATACGGACACTTATTCCGTGTTTTACAATGCCGAAATCATTCACAACTTTCAATTCAATAAATTTAATAAATTTTTATTTGAAGAGCATAAAAATGACAGAAAGATTGTATAGAATTTTAAGGGTTTACATTCAAGAAGTGTTATTTAATGTATCATAAGTTGATATTATGCAAACAAAAGGAACTTTGGTCAGTCACAACAAAACTGATAACACTTGAAAATACTCAGTTAAAGGATATTCATGTAAACATTTTTCAATCATTACGATGAGTATGTAAATGCAAATCAATTGTACCCACGTGATTCGGAATAAATCTCATTTAACAAAATATTTGCCGAAATCTCATGAATATGCATCTATGTAAGCTTTTAGGATATGCCTACAGCCATATGATTCGTGAATAATCTTATATTAAAAGGATTTATTCTGATTATGTACGGTATTGATGTGAGTGTTTAAGTGCATTTTTTGTCCAAATGATTTTTGGCGAGTACTGCATTCGAAGGGTGTTCTCCGATCATGTACTACATTTATGTGAATTTTGAGATATTCTTTTCGTCCAAATGATTTGTGGCAAATTTTGCACTTGAAGGGTGTGATACGATCATGTACTGTATTTATATGATTTTTGAGTACATTCTGATATCCAAACAATTTGTGACAAATCTTACATTCGAAGGGTTTGCTCCGATTATGTACTGAATTTATGTGTTTATTAAGGCTACTTTTATATCCAAATGATTTGTGACAGAAGTTACATTCAAAAGGTTTGCTGCGATCATGTACAACATTTATGTGAATTTTGAGATAATCTTTTCGTCCAAATGATTTGTGGCAAATTTTGCACTTGATGGGTGTGATACGATCATGTACTGTATTTATATGATTTTTGAGTACATTCTGATATCCAAATGATTTGGAAACACACTCAAAGGGTTTGCTACGATTGTGTACTGCATTCACGTGGCGTTTGAGTTCGCGTATTTGGCCAAATGATTTATGACAATTATCACATTCAAAGGGTTTGCTACGATCATGTACAACATTAATGTGAATATCGACGTAAGCTTTAGATGAAAATGATTTGTGACAAACCTCGCATTCGAAGGGTTTAATACCTTTTTGTACTGCTATCATGTGATTTTTAAGGGTATGCCTTTCTCCAAATAGTTTGTGACAAATGTCCCACTGGTGGCGTTTGATACGATCATGTACTGTATTTACGTGTTTCTTGAGCTGTGCTTTTCGTGCAAACGATTTGTGACAAATGTCACAAATTGGGGACAACTTCCAAATCTCCGAGACATTTTTCTTGAGAAAAAAATTAAAAAAAAAAACCAAATTAAAAACAAATTAAAAATTGAAAAAATTAAAAAAAATCAGCTGTTTAAGAACAGCTGCAAGATGTGAAACATCTTTATCAATTAATTAAAGGAATGAAAATTCATAGACAAATAAAATTTGAAAATCACTGCTCAA